GTGTCTTATCACAAGGCACGCACTTAAACACATCTGGAAAGTATCAGAGAGTGGAAAATCAACAACAGATCAAATAATCATAAATTTCAGCTGAAAAATGGGGTGAGGGAAGGAGGACTCAGAAAGTTTGTGTTCACTGCTGAATAATGGTGTAAAGTACCAACAAACGGGAAATAGCTTTGCTCAGGTGCTGAACATCTTTCTCTCCTACTGAAGCATATATGAGCTGAAAATGTGCAGCACATCATATAATTGGATACTGTAAAACTGCACATGGTCTAATCTGTCTCCCATTAGAAAAATACAGTAATTGCAGTGATTCCTTTTCTCTTATATGAGACAGTTTGTGTTTCAGAAACAAAACATTTCACTCTTTTAGTAACAATAAAAAAAACCCCAAAACTTACTTTAGAAAACACCGATATTCATAGGACACAACAACATACTTTTACTGGTAATGACAATGCTTTAAGAAAAAAAATCTATATACCATATGTAACTGGGATAGCAATTTTAAAGCCGTGAATGCATGGTCCCTGTTAGTTCACAAAATTCAGACTCCTTTTCCAAACTCCACTCTCGTTTGGGGAAAAAAACGCGAGAGATTACACTAAAATAAGCTCGAAGTTGATCAGACAGAAAACACACTCCCAGAATGTTTGTTAATATTGTAGAGGAAGACGTTTAAACTGCCTGAACAGCATTTGCTCTGGTTCCTAAGACTTACTGTGGGGATCGGGAGCCACCCTTTGGTCATTATTGTAAATGCAAAATCAATACGATGTACCACAGATGCTGACGGTTTCTGCCCTCTGAGGAGGATTTTTGGTAACCACCTATGAATTCATAGGTCATACTGACAGATACTCCAAGATCGTCGCTAGCTTAACACCATTTACAATATGTATCTTACCTTACAGGGACGATAGGGATGAGCAATCTCTGCTTGTGTGTAATCTCTAGGGCTTTGAGCATTTTATGCGCTAAATGTTGTCATCACACTCAGTGCCTTCCGTTCTCTATCACATTAATGATGCAGATCAATTTCCACAGAGTGTCTGTAGCATCACTGCTCACTTAAATAAGGATTAAAGGAAACAAAACATCTGTAGATTCATAGAATTCTCTTCAAGAGCACCATACTGAATAAATTAAAAGGTTCAACCTGAGTTATAAAATAACTTTTTCATCATGGTGATTGATGATTGCAGATCAGCGTGAAAAGCAGACTAACAAATAGAAAAGACCAAGAAATTGCTACCATACAACTACAGCAAAACAGGCTGGACACTGATACAGAAAGGCAGGATCCTCAAAGAATGGAAAACACAGATATTAAATCCAAGGAAGGTCAACTGACAGGGCAGAAAGGGAAATCTATGGAAACTGGCCAGGGAGATTAATGTTAAGCCCCACACAACTCTTACTTCACATTGAAAACCACAAACCATTCCCAGAAAGGAAGAAACTATTATGCTCTCTCTTAGCCTTGATGTGAGCAACCTTCTTAAATGCTTCTCTATTTTATGAGAAAGGACTAAGTTCCCAGAGTTTTCCATTTACTCCTCCCTCAGGACTTTGGAGGCTGTTATTCTTTCTTTTGACTTGGGATCATCCTCTACCATAGTCAGCTTTTGCTGGTCAGTATCAAGTGGAATCAGTCCATGAGACAGAAAATGAATAGTGCATATGTAAGCACTGGATAACTCAGACAAAGCAGGAAGGCAGCAGTTTTGAACTTAGATCCAAATGAGTCTGGATACAGACATGAGCACACAAAGACTTATAAACTTAGATGAAGTAGAAACAGCCATCAGTTCAAATTAAAGGTAATTAAGCAGGGACCACAATGAGATACTAGCTGCCTTCTATCCTGCCATTTGTCATGAAGCAGTTGGAATAACCAAGTAAACAGTTACAACTGTGAGAATACATGTACTTCTCCACACGCTCAAGACATACTGCAAACACTACACTACTACACGAGACAAACCACATAAGACGAACATTCCTACTTACATGTTACATTTGGAGATGAAGATGCCAAGAAGGTGCAGTGATCTCTCCAAGCCCACAGAAACACCACCAGGACAGCACAGGAATTTCCAGCTGATTATAGACTACAAGGCCCCTTCGTCTATGCTTATAACACTGTCATTCAAAACAAGCTTATTTGTCCTTAAGTTAAGGACCTTTTTCCTCCCATCACCAAAGGAAAGAGAGCACACTGAATCACTGAACAACAGTTCCATTGGCTAAAAAACCAGCTTTTTAATTATTCTGTTAGTGGCTCTCGAACAGTTTTTCTTTCTCCAAACGCCAGAAGCTGCCCCACAGTAACTTATGTGAAATATTAAAGTCATAGAAAGAAAATAAAAAGGGCATAAGACATTCATTATAGTGTTTGGGTTCCTTCCTGAGGTATGGGGGCCACCCACATGGTATACTTTTCTTTTATGTAATGAAATTTGTTTAAAAAAATATATATTTATTTCAGACTGTAGTAATACAGTCCTTTAGGTTATTACAGTCTAATGCTACCACTAAATTCAACACCAGTTTTGATTCATGATTATAGTACCATTAGATGTCAGTATACGAGGAATTTGCACCGTGGATTGACAAAAGGGTCTGACTGTATTCATGGTCTAAGCCATCTTTCTCTTATACATTTGAATAGGTTGTCCACATTTTCACTAATCACTGGAAGCTGAAAACAACATGTACGTAAACCCAGTGAGGAAAGGTCTCTTGTGAAAAAGAGTAATCACAGCTAAAAGATGATGTCATAGCTTTGGGAATTATAACTGTCCTAAGAAATGAATGGGTTTGAAAGGACTTGATCAGATACATCACACTGCAACTCTTGGAGTGATGGGTTTTCACAGTTAATTTCCTAGGCAAGAGAATATTGCAACCCAGATGTGACTTCCTCCACCACTATCAATCTAAGTTGACTTACACGTGACTGTAAGGTCTTGAATTTGGAACTCAAACAAATTGAAGGAAAGCAAGTAATGTAACGTGACTGAAATAAATTATCACCTGACAATGACACACTGCTGCTTTCAGAAGTGTTCATATTTCTTCACTGCAGAAGAGCCATTGTTTAACGTGATACTGCTGTCAAAACACAGGAGCTGCTCAACCTTTGTGTTTTCAAAGGAATAAAGACTAACACAGACATGGACTTAACTAATGAAACTCATGCATACAGCGGAATTGGTAGGCACTAGTTTGGGCTGAAGCATAACACACTCCACCAGGCTTCAAAAATTCCACACAAAAGGTGAACTCTGGACATCCAAAATACCTTGCTTCATGTCTACTTGTATCCTAAAAGCATTCAAATTCAAAGTCCTCATTCTGGATGAGCTTCCTGGGATTTTCTGTTTGGGTTGCTATGCATGATAGGAAGCACTGAATGTGGGAGCGGCAATGGACAAGGTAATTCAAGTCTGATAGCTCTTCTAAGTCAGCAATGATTTAATTCAAAACCATGGAAAAGCAGGGAGTTAAAAGGACTTTGAGGAACCATTGCTGCTGCCTCCTCTGTACAGCAGGCACCTATCTTCAAAACAAGATTCAGATTCCTGAATTCCAATGAAGAAAGAAAACAGACATCTCCACATATTAGGAACCTGGTCAGGTGTATTAAATCTCTTGCCTTCTCATGTGGAGAAACAGTTGGTGCATAACCAGCGTCCCTGCAATGTGTTCAGCACATGTCTAACCTGGTTATCTCCTCCCTAAAGGTAGCCACAGTGAAACCTTCCCATGGTGACTAAGACCACCTCCTTTTCTTGTCATGAGGACACAAATTCTGTACCTGGGCAGGTGCCTCCAGAAGGTGCTTATGAACTTGTCAGCTACAAGAAGAAAAAGGGCCAATCTATGACTATAATTCTCTCAGGCAATATGCAGGAACTGAGAGAAGCTCACAGTTTCTATGCCTGAATCTCCACAAAGGAATATTCACGGTGACTATCTTACAGTGTTCTTTATAGAGACTAATAACTTTGGGTGGCAAACTTGGAGTAATCTCTATCAAGCTCCTGATAACACAAGAAAGAGCCAACAGTCATGTTCACCTGCTATGGGTGGTGTTTGCAGAAAGTCATTTACATGAATTAGCCCTTCTACACCACGTGATAGATGTCCTGGATGACAGTTATCAAGCAGGATGTGCCTTGTGCAGAATCACCACTGCACGTGCTCACACATATTCTCCTAGCATATAGCTTGTTGCAAACTATAATTTGATCTTTAACACACAGTACTATAAAATATGAGGTAACTAAAACTTAAAACCCTTCTGAAGATGAGCAAACTTCTTCATTTGAATAAATGCTGCCAGCTTCCGGTATCCAACCAGCAATCATAAGCCTCCAGGCAATTCCTCCCAGTCCCTGGTAAACTATTTCATTACAAATAACTCAGATGAAGTTCTTACTTCTTGATGACACCCCAACTGCCACCACCTTTGAGAATCTCACTTGCCAGCAGAGAAGAAAGATGTCACAGAATAAATAATTTTAAACATTTTGCATTTGACAGAACGTAGTTTGAGCAAAAACTCTATTTTTAAAAGAAATCATTCCCTTCGTGATTTTTATTATATTTATTGAATTATTTCCATTTTTATCATGTATACTTCTTGCTCATCTTCTACACTGCTTATTAAGATGGAGAATAAAACTAGACTGATCAATTTTGCCTTTGGAATTCCTTTATCAGTTATCCACACAGTAATTTCATGTTTAAATTGCAAACAATACCTGGTGAAATTTCAATCCAAGACAATAAAATTTTTTAACTGAAATCTTAAAACCTTTTCTGGAAGTAGTTATCTTAATATTGAATTTTGCAGCTTTTTTAAGCAGACTCTATTTTATGTCTATGTTATGCAACCATATTACATTCTGAAAACAGAGTTACCTAGAGGGAGCAGTATTTCTTTCAAGAATGATTAATAAGCTGAAAAGAAAAACCCGATGCTGTTACACTTCTTGAACATCAGGCAAATACATAGAACAGATCAGCATGTTTTGTCCAAAGGCTGGAAAGCGTCTTAGTGTCTCCCAACTGTCCGTAAATATATTATACTTTAGAAAAACACGGTGCTCCAAGCTTGTAGATAGAGTAATATCCCTACTCAGTATATAGACTCCATCATTGTGGAGAGTGCAAGTCAAATTAAGACCCGATTTTGATGTGTTCTCTTTGAGGTAGAGCCATTCTTTAGTAGCAATGTTGTAAGACTGCACAGTTAACACGTCCTCACTTTGGCTGGATTTTTGGTTTGGTCCAAGTTCATGAATACAACCCCCTACCAGATATATAGTTTCTTCAACAGAGAGCATCTGTTGTTTGCGAACATGGACATCACAAAGTTCAAAGTTGGTCCAGGAATCAGAAGAGGGACAGTACTGCAAAATGTTCATATTTCTATCTGAAACAGAGGAAAGACATTTACAAATAAATAAATATTACAGAAGGTTCTCATGGAGAAGGATTCTTCCTCCCTACAAACTGTATCAGCCATTATTACAGATTGCTAATGTATTACAGTGCAAAAGCTTAGTAGAGCAGGGAAGAAATACTGATTATTAAGAACTGCAACTCTTTGCCCTTGACAATAAGATTTGGATGTTCCGTCCCTTTGCAGAGGGAAAACTTAAGCTACTTTTGGCACATTACATGATGTGAATGGTCTGAGGATGCAGATTTTAGCAGAATAATCCCTACCTTTTAACTTATGCTTTTAATTTCATCTCCAATTCATATGTTAGCATTTTTTATGAAAAGAGAAATGGAGCAATAGTCTGCTCTCCAACAGTGATCACAGATGAGTCAAATTATCACAAAGACAGCATGCTTCTTTAATGGCTGTCAAGTACTGATTTATCATCCAAGCTTAACTTTGATACTTTGCATTTCATTCCATAAACCAAAGTTTTATGGAATAAATTCATAAAGCTAGTTACATTTCAGCAAGTGGCATGGATGAGTGAAGGGCACATGTTCAGTACCTTACGAAGAAAGAAACCACATGTCGAAATAATTTAAGAACCAGGAACTCTGCCTTCCAGCATCAGACAGAAGCACAGAAAAAAGCTGAAGCTGTATCTATACTTCAGTTACAACCTGGTGGATCCATGTGTTTGCAATGCTGTTATTCTATGAAACAGTTACAATACCACCCTGATTTATGGTGCAGTGGAGACCTTGGATGTGTCCGCAGCTTCACTAAATTAACACAGAACGCACAGGACTTGTTAGCTAGTAAATTCAGTTTCAGTCTCTGGAGACCTGAGCTTAAATCCAACCTCAAGTGACAAACGGCAACAGGTTTGCAGACTCCAGCCTTGTCTTTTAATAAAATCTGCTCCATATCACAAGTCTATCCTGCATGACGATCTCCAGATGAGCTCCCAAGTGGAACAGCAGACAGTGACATACTGGTAAGTTATGTAAGGGCACCAATATAAACAGCCATAAATATAACAGGATTGTCATGAATGAAGTGCATTAGCAGAATGATTAGGGAGGCGCTGATATAGCATTTGCTTGCACTCTGACCATTTTAGTAATTGTTTATTGCTTTACTTTGTCTTCTTGAAAACCTAATTCACTTTACATATGGGAAAACAAGAGGGGAAAAATACTCATGGCAATGCTCTATGAAATTGCTGATCAAAGCTCTACATATAGATGATCTTTATCTACAAACAATGTATCATTCTGTGACTCACTGCAGGGGGTGAAATCCCAATTAACTTTCTATGTCTGTCTACAGCAGTAATGTTCCCAAGTAAAAAGTGTTATCACCTGTGAGGACCCACAGGAAACGGAAGCCTATTACAACACAGCCCTCATTTGCTCAGCCCAGAGCCTCGATCTCTTATATCCACTCAAACAACCAACCAATACAAAACATGAACATTATAGTGCCTGACACCAAGTTTGTATTAGGATTTAGGTTCACAAGTGAGCTGAAAACTGGAAGGAGGGTCTTTATTCAAAAAGTGCCATTTTAATTTACAGTGCATATTTCCAGATCCTACCATCTTTTCGAAAGCGCAGTGTCAGGAGAAAACTCTACAATTATCAAAAAAATAGCCTACAAAACCTACCAAAACTGAGGTGTATGCAGAAATACTAAAAATAAAATAAAACTTCACATATTGTTTCATGTGCTTCATGTACTGCATGTAGTGAAATAGCACATGAACCTCAGCGTCTCTTATAGTTAAGCCTTAACACTCTCTGACATCTGCATAACTTGGAAGCTGAATCACCAGTGTAATTGCAGCAATTCTGGTTTCTAAGTCTGATAGCTGTCCTAAGGCAGTGTCACACAAAAACTGACTCTAGACCCTTGTTCAGGAAAGCATCCTAATAAGGATATAAATATTAATATTAATATAAATATATAACAAGCACAGGTGTTTGTTGCCCTGACTGGTGTTGGATTTAAACATAAGTCTAAATGTGCTAGTTATCCATGCTCACAACTTTATACTGTTTTACTATCCTGTTTCCATTAAAGCAGCTTTTAGGAAAAGACCTAGGAAAATACCTAAGAAAAGACAAGAGGCCTAAAGGTCAGTGGCAATCCATAAGGTGTGGAAGAAGGAAGAGGTAATTCACTATCCTTCTTCAGTTGAAACCACATGTATGAAGTATTGCATGAGGAACTTGACACGGGGCAGCAATCCTGATTACAAATGCTGTTAATAAATTTTAATGGAATAGGATTTGCACCAGCAACATGCTGATCTTCCTATCCATGACACCAGCAGCAGGCAGCCTGAAAAAAGAACAGCACAAGCACCAGAAAAAGAACTTGCAAAGTGCAGACGACATAGGAGAAAAGCTGGTACTCCCATAATCTTGTAGTACTATTAACCAAATCATAGCTTTTACTTCTTCTTTCTCTAGATAAAAATGACAAAACCTAACTCTAGTCTCTAATGACAAGTCTTGTCATTACCCCATTTCAGTCCCTTCTCTTTGTTCTCTGCTCCCTTATCTGAAATGATGCTTTCCCTCATTTGACTTTTCAGCACAGCAAGTGTTGCATGCCAAACATCTTTCAGTCCTAGTGTCAGACATCAGGGAGCACCATGAACCTAAACAGGTTCTCTAGTGGAGATAAAGAGGACTGGGACTGCAGAGCACAACACAGCATGGCCTTCCAGATGGACACAGGCACACCGATATTTTTTGTTTTCCTCAGTGAAGCCACCACATTCTAGGTTAGAAATGACCAGGCAAAATGCTTTTGAAGGTTATCATTACCACAAGGACCATAGGGGTGGAAGTGTGTCTTTTATAAACATTTTAATAGAGCTAAAATCTGCTCAGACACTAGATGGGACAGCTTGTTCTAATGTCAGCTCAGCTTTGCTTGCAGTACTCTCTGTAAACGCTGATCTCTCTTCTAATTTTATTTTCCACTTGAAAAAAAAACAACTACTGTGATCAAATGAGTGGGCAAAGGCCTAGAGATGGGAATTAAAAATTAGGAAATCTGTTAAATACTGAACATTTGACATGAAAAAAAAACCTTCTTGTAAAACTCTGAGAAAATTGTATTCCTCCCAAAGAAAGGCACTATGTGCTTAAAGAATCAACAAATGGAAGCTCTTTTTAAGATGCTTGGTTTTCAACTGGATAAAGTAATCATCAGGAGAGAATGCAATTTCAAATCCTTCTCTCGTACAGTATTCTCAGAAAACAGGGTAAAGGAAGGAAAGAAGTTAAAAATGTTGTTTCGTGCTTAAGCTTTTGATTAATTATTCAATTAAGTTATTTCAGCACTGAAAAGCTTATAGCTTGAATGTGCCCGTGAAACACTGAAATGCTATACTGAAGGGACCATGACATCTATTAATACATGAGAAATGTTACTCCAGACAAATATTTTTTTTACATTTTTCCTTCTGACAGTTTAAAACAAGTATGTAAAAAGCAAACAAAGTGTATCTTTTGAGACCTCTCTTTCTACTGTGTGATCAAAACCTAGAAAAAAAGAGGGCTAAGCTGGGTGCTAAAGTACCCGTCAATCTGTTCCCTCAAAATAACAGAGCCCCAGGTGCATGTAAGCCCTGAAAAAAAACCAACCACCACCTAATTCCTCTATGACAGAGCTAATTTTTTTTGTTTGTTTGTTTCATTTGTTGGTTATTTTCTACCAGTGATTTATTTCAATATGTTGTAATGAGTATTATACAGCTTTCTACACCAGTTCAAAAGATTTCCTGAGAAAGGAAAGAAAATTATCTGGGCCTTAGAAGCAATCAGGCTGAAAAAGCACTCCAAAGTAAAAGCAAACTTTCTACCTCGTGTAGTGTATCCTCCGATAACGTAGATCTTGCCCTTGCATTCGCAGGCTGAGAATTCTGCAAGAGGGTTGGGCATGGATGCTACAAAATTCCACCAGTCGTTTTCTGGATTATAGCACTCCACGTTGGAAAGGGATTGACCACCAATGGCATACAGTTTTCCATTCACAGCCAAGAGCTTAAAATTGGACCTGAGAGAAAAGATTGCAGCATTGAAATAGGTTGTAGAGAAAAATACAAGTAAGTTCTTCCTATCCAGGCTCTAATGTACTCATCATCACTTATAGCTTGTACCGTCGCTTCAGCTGAATACATCTGAATTTTTCCATACAAAGCCAAAGTTCTATAATTACACTGTAATAACTTAGGACAGTAACCAGGGACATTCTGGATGTTAATAATGTCAATGCTGAGACTGGCAAATATTTTATTTTGGATTTCAAACTGTCGCAGTTTGAGATCTAAATGTTTAGTTAACTAATGTGTTCAGTAGATGTCTCATTTTTTACTAGGCTTTTAGTAAAGTATTTTTAGTAGAGAAAAAAGTTTTATATACACACACAATCAAGGATAATATTTTAGTCAAAACTGCAGAAATTTCAAACAAGAGTTCATGAATACCTATGTAGTCGTCTTGGTCTGTAATATGGAAACCCTTTAATAACCTTAACAAACAAAAATTTTGAACACATTGAATGTGTAATGAAACAGAAACACATTGAATCATGTTCTACAAAAGAAGGACGATGGAATTTCCTGTACCCTATTTGGTATTAAAGTACTAAATACATCCTCCATCCCACTGAAGTCAGATACATCTGTAAATTAATGTGGGACATTAATGTGAGCAAAATACATTGCACTCGACAGGCAATTCCCTGTTCTCTTATTGCTTATTCTGTTCCATAATGCTGTTGTACTTCATGCATGGCAAAGGGTAACTTTCTAATTACTGAAGTACAAGAAGCCTTGTATCTTACACTTTAAGATAATACAGACAGAAACAAAAGGTCTATGGATATTAAAGAAGTAAGTCTCTAGGAAGAAACTGGAGGACTTGAAGATAGAGGGCTCACATGCTCAGCTATTCCTTCCAGCTGTGGTCTAATAAAAGATGAGCTCTTCCTCTCCTCAGAAACAGTCTCATTGCCTAGACAGGTTGTTCCTTCCCTATTCTTGAGCCAAACTGACATTTTACCATGCGGTATCCCAATTAACCAGATGTGTGAAAGTCACTGGAGTGCACCGGGTCAGCATAAAGCCAAATGGGGAACTGTGTTACGTCTGTAAAACCGAAGTGATGCTTTAGACTTGCGCTGGCCCGCTGAGCAGTAAAGTGAGTTTCACTCTGCATGAAACCAAGATTCAAAACTTGCCGCTAAGTACTTTTGCAGGATTTTGTCTGGACAAAATGAACCCTGCCTAGCAGCAGACTGCCCTGCAATTTCTTTTTATTAAATGTATTTGGAAAAAGAATTTGTTTCCAGATGGAATCATTTTGTTCTTGTCATACTGATATAACTTTGGAAACTAAAATGTGCCTTTGAAAGAATTAATTGCTTTTTCTTCTTCTTTTTTTTTTTTTTTCTGACATTTAGGTCACTCTGTTCATCTCCTCTCTACAACAATTATATTTTCCATCTTAGAGGATCCAGAATAACATGGCAATGAATAGCAGGTATGCCACAAGGATAATTACTTGCAAAACATGTAGATTTTCAAAGCAATGTACCTGTTCTAAAAGTTATGGTGGGGAAAAAAAAATCCATAAATCTAACAAAGGGACAAAACCACAAAAGCATTCTCCAAGCAATCCTTTAAAATCTAAAGTGTGTTAGAAAGACTATAGTTCTGTGCCCACAATGAAGACGGTCCAGGATTTTTTGCTTATCAAATGAGTTCACGTGCACACAGATAGTGTTTCCTATTCTAAGATCTTATAGCCACTTTTTAAACATGCTCAAAGTTCTACCACAGAGGACATGAACTAAACAAGTGTTGTGTCAGAACATTAGAGAATTCAGATTTCCTAACTCACATGTTTGTGTAGTTACTCTCTATTTCTAGCCTCTTACTACTTTCTTTGAATGTGGGTGATGTATGCAGTTTTTGCTTGATGGCATTTGTATCACTGAATTGTTTCTTGTAGTACAGAGAAAACTATCTGGTCAATGATGTATAGCACAACTTTCTACTTCAACTATCCTAGAAGAAGGCCATGCACATTTGTGTCAGTCATTTAACCACTTCCAACACTGGAAGGATGACATTCAGTGGAAGTATCTTAGATTTATGGAGCACGTTAACTACAAGGTTCATTATTCTCAGAGGTAGCTGTAAGTATCCATCAGTACACTTCCTGTGAAAGTTTGGGCAATGGCTCTATGTATTATGAAAAACTTCTGTCATTCACCTTTCCATGCCAGTAACAGCAGGTGTTTTTATGGAGAGTGAACATTAGGAAATATTTAGTGCATTTCTACGCTCTTTTAATGTGTTGGAGCAGCTGGAAACAAGGAAACCAAACACTGACAAACCAGCCAGCTCTCCACAACTAACAACTGTTCCATGGACCACAGCTTGGAAACAATGGAGCTGAACAGTCTGTCAGATTCAACTGCGATATAACTCCACTCTCACCAGTGAGTTATCTAAACTTGAGGGATCTAGTGCATACCCTTCTTGCTGGGACATGACAAGTCCCTCGTTTCCTCTGAACAGAACCCCCGGAACACAACCAAGAGTGAGCTGTGAGGTTTTACCGCAGTTCAAAATACCTTTTTCATTCAATAACGACAAGTGCAAAGTACTAAAAGGAAGAAAAATATAATGCACAACTGCAAATGATCTAGGGTCACAGTGCATAGCTTTTTAAATACAAGACAACATTCAACAATTTGCAAAAAAGCCTACATTGTTCTGCACTACATTAACAGCCACAGAGGTATCTATAGGAAACCACTATGAAAGTGGCTATAAAGAGAAGGGCAAGCATTCTTCTTGTTCACTGACAGGTATCATTCATTTAGTATACAGCAAAAAAAAAAGTTAGCACAGATGTTAGAGAGGACTTCCTGATCAGAGGGGTGGCTAAACATGGGCACAAGTTACCTCAGAGGAAGGAGGCTGGAATCTACACTGCTGCAGAGTTTCAAGAACAAAGTAGATGTGTATTTACAAGGTAAGATTAGTCCTGCTGTAGAACAGGAGGCTTGGACTAACTAACTAACCTGTGGTTCCTTCCTGCCAAATGATCAACTTTAGTTTTAAAATTTTTCACAGATCAGGTTACTTCTTTATTCTAGAGTTAAAACATTCAGAACAGAGACAAAGAATCATGAAAGCACAGTTACACAGTTAACTGTGAGTGGAAAAAAAAAATAAATATAGAAAATGAGGAAAGAGAAGGTCTTATAAACCACTACCGTTCCCCGGGAGCATCCTCTCCTATATTTCTGTAAGAGTCCTCAGAGTGGCAGCAGTTCAGGCACAGATTGCTCACAAAAACCATGTTCCACTTGCATATGTATAATCCCAGACAGGGTTTTACAAGGGTCTTCCAAGCCTGGAAGGTTTACCTGCCATGAGTAGGAAGGTTCTGAAGGAAAATAAAAGTGGAATATACAGCTGAAACTGGCACATGCAGTAGAAATCCTGTATTATTTTTGAAATAGCAAATTTCAACTGACAGCACCAATTTAAAGCAAAGAATGGAAAGGTATTCAAGGACATTACTTGAACAGTCCCCAGTGTACTGTGTCACATTGTCCCCAAAGACCACAGATGGTCTTTGGCAACTCTTACAGGAAGTTTCTTCCATGAAAAAGTTCAGGCTGTTGTATGAAGACACTACGCAAAGTACAGCAATACCTCTAGAATTAAAAGACCTACAAGCTGTAATCTGTTATGGCCTATTTGTGACAAGCACTAGATTTAGCCCTCAGATGATGACAAATTCTAAGCTCAGTCACAAGCTTCTTACGTGAGTCTGAGAAAATTATTTTATCTTCCTTGTGTATGCACAAATAGGGAATAACATGTTCTCAAGCTTATGTGGGCAACATGAGAATAAACAGGAGTTACCTATTGTGAACAAATTTGAAACTACAGTAAATAAGATCTCTACATCTAGAAAGAATGCCAACAGCTATCACCTATACCAGAATGACTGCTAAGTACTCGGTATACATCTGACGGCTTTTGTCTTCTACTTAGAAGTTGGGACTACTTAATCTATGCATGTGTGGAGAATCTAACATCCTGGGATTCTATACTACAATAATGGAAATAATTAACATTAAGATATCATAGAATTTACAATTCTCTGCTGAGGGCAGAGACCTTCTCATATTACAGCAAATCAGCACAATTATTTCCGTAACTCCTTAGCCTTCCCTTGAGGCCAACATACGCATCCATTCATATAGGCCAAATGCAGATACTGTTATCTGAAGTCAAACCACCTTCAATAGGAACTAGAACCCTTCCTCAAGGTATGTAAAAAATTCACCCATGGGTCAATTATATCAGCTGATATAATTTATTTGGCAGACAGTCACATGACTGTAATTCCTAAGCAGCATGCCAAGCAACTGCTCTGCTTATTTTACTACAGCATAACAAACTAAAAATACAATGCCTAGCAAACTGCAGATCTAATTGCAGCACATCTGTGTGGCAGACAGGCATTAGTGCTGTTTGTGTTAAATGCAAAATCCTTGATCTTAAAAAACTCCCTACTCTTGGCTCCTGCATCACAGACCATCCCTTCCTGCATTCTGGCCACAGAACATCAAGAGGGTCATCAGAGAGCTGAAATGTTATGTCAGACAGAAAAAATAATAATTGTAACTTCAAAGTTGAGACTTCATGAAGATGTCAAAAGTCAAACACATGTTTTGTGAAGGGGAGAGCAGAATTTCCACAAAAAGAACTTACACTGATTATCATTCAGACAGCAATATACTCATTTGCTGCTACCTTGCAGTCTAGGGACAGAAGTAATTGTGGATTCTTTTTGGCCTGCAACAACTACCATGAAATATAAGAATAAAGACCGTTCAAAAAATATCCATTTGCATGCAACTTTTCTGCAGTAAATGGCCAATGTGAAATTCTATGCTAAGGATTACCTTGCTGTCACCTGTGACGGGCTTCACGATTAAGTTGGCAGGCCAGTGCAGCTGAAAGTAGTAATATAAGGAGAAAACAGCCATGTGTTTATATCAGATATAAGGATAATATCCTAGAAAAAAGGGAAAGCGTGGGGAGAAGGCTGATCTACAGTTTGAACAGCCAGGTTGTAAGGTAAAAAAAGGGCCCCAAAAAAGCACTTTTCTTTAGAAAGCTCTCATTAACCACACTGGAGAATCATCGCACATCTCTCTTGCTATATATGCATCCCACAAAACAATGCCAAAACCTCGTAACTTGATCAACGTGGGACTTCTATGTTTAAGTTAATTTCCACAGGAGATGCTGTGTGGGCTAACCCCATAAAACTTTTCTAGAAAGACCAATGTGCTCTCAATTGTGATCATAGGCAAGACTGCCAAAGGGAGGCCAGCTGAAACATCTCAGTTCCCACAGGCACCTAGGAGAAGACTGCTTATAGGCTCAATCTCTAAGAATAATGTGTCTGTAAAAAAAGGTGTTTGCAGTGTTTAAAAGCTAAACACTTATTTTACAGAATAAATTTTTCATAACGCTGTTCCAAGAAGCCAGAAATACTGAAAAACGTTTTTTCTGATCAATTCGGACGACTGATTATGGAGGTAATAATTTCAGTTAAAATTCTCATAACAATACAGGAAGTGAAAAAAAAAAGGATGTAATGGGAAAGAATTAATTTTAGGTCAAACCCCTGTTTTGAGGGGGTTTAGCTGGCAAGAGTTATGTAGAGACTGGAATAGAGACTGCAGTTTTACTACCAAGATACAAAGCATTTATGCCAACGGTTTGGGTCTCTGCATGCTCTTCGAGTTTACTGGATGGAGAGGAGAATTTCCATTCTACAGTGAATTCTGGCCTCCTTGCTTGTTCTTTCACAGACAAAGATGAAGATTTAAACTCTTTTTCTAAAATGGAAAGAATGGGGAATTTCCAATTGGATAGCTGAAACCTTTTGTTTCAGACAAGTAAAAGGCTTTGTTTTGATAACTTCAGTATGATAAAGGTAGAGCAAACTTGGCCAGGGAGATGGGCTCTCTTCTTGGGTCCCCCTCAGGGATGGCTCTCTATTATTCATCCAAATGTTTCTCAACACTAACTTAAACATAAATGTCAAACAAACAATTCAAAAGGATAAAAGAAAAAGGCAAAATGGTCAAAATGATGAATGATTCCCAGATCCAAATATACTCACAAAGTGAGAAATTTCTTGCAATCTTCCTGACATTTTTCTGGTGCATGTTTAATTGAAATGGAGGCCTACGAAACAGTCAGGTTTTTATGTAAGTACAAACCAGTGAAAAACTGCTACAGCTAAATTTTTTCAGCCATCTCCAGCTCTGACAGACTCTATATCCCCATCAGCAAAACTTGTCACGTTACTGATATCACAAAAATAGTACAAGAATTGTATCTTTTTTTAATCTTTGTTATTTCAAAGAGATTTTATACTACCAGCGAGACAGCTGTTTGAAGAGGCTGGCTCTGTGTATCCTACAACTTAAAGGAGAAGTGGGAGCCCACCACCATTTCAGACCAAGGTGACTGATCACATGGTGGAGGGCCGTATCACAGTCCTCCTCTGCTGAAGCCTACCTCATGTTCTCCCATGGCTGAGGCCTTTACCACCAGCATTTATGCAACCAAGCCCTGTCCCCCTCACCCTTCCCTGGCCACAGCAAGTGATGGGATTGACCATGGATGGTAAAGACCAGGTTTGCCAGGCCTGTCCAACAGCGTGCTGCCAAGCCATCGCCAAGCACCATGGTCCTTCCCACCACGATGCCAGAGATGCAAGTGATTCATGGCACACACAGAGGTCTGAATCACTTCTCGTAACGCCGAGTCCAGCCAACACCACGTGACTCAACAAGGTCCGTTCTGACAATATACATGGACACACGTGTATTTCAGGGATCAAGGGTTACCTCTTCTGGTTCATGGAGGCCAGCTGAGTCCATTCATTTAGACAAGGGTTGTAACAATGGGCAGCCGAAATTTCCTGGCTGGTGATCCTGTAGCCCCCAACAATGAACAGGTAGTTGTCCAGCATCGCGGACCCATAGCCCCGGACGTTCACCAGATCAGGTGGCAGGTTGTTGGCCAAGGGCAGCCACCTCTCCGCTTCCTCATCGTACCTCAGCATAGACCAGGGGGCTTCCACCTGAGGGTGGCAGCCCAGAGAGGAGGCACCCATGAAGTCCCCGATGGCCACGAGGGTGGCAGTGCCCTTCATCCGCCTTTCCTTCAGGTGCTGCTGGAGAGCATGGGGCAGGAGGAGGTGTGGCCGGGCATCGGGCCTCCGCAGCACCTGATGGTAGTGGGTGGCCATGAAGTCTAGACAGGCATCGTGCAAGTCCTGGAGACCATAGACCTGAGCCAGGCGGTGCAGCTCGAAGCAGTTGCCTAGCCTCACCTGGGAGAGGAGCAGGCGGAGCAATGGGGTGACCTGCAGGTAGGAAGCGGCCTCCACCAGCTCCTCCAGC